AATTTAAAGGAAAAACAATTCCACAGACATCTATATCTAGAATTCAAATAAAAAGTAAGTGCACTTCAAACTTTTCTTTGTCATTGTTGACTAGAGAACACAAAACTTCCAGGCCATGTATCTGGATGTCTGTCGATTTCTGATTTTCTAGTGTCCAGGTGATAAAAGCCATAAATAAATAGTAGAAGTACTATGTGATAAATAATGAATGAATAGATGTATGAATGGATGAGTGAATAAGTTTATATATTCATGTGTATTGGCATTAGAGTAGTATAGATTTAACTGCCAAATAAATGTTTGATATTCAATAACTAATTTAGGTAAATATTTAAGGTAGTGGAATTTCCAACCAACTGTGATATGGCATGAAGCACATCAATATTTACATAATGATAATAAATAAGTATGTAAAGTTGCAAATTTAATTCTGAAGGGTATCATTATTTGCACATCATAGGTGGGGCATCTCATGGGAAACAAATATTTTCATATTGTGAAAGACAAGGATAGTAGACTTCCACAGGGTGGTGGTATCCTTATCTTTTTTAGTTCCCTGTTACATTTTTAGCAAAGAAATGAAAGGCCAAAGAAGAGAAGTAAAAGGGAAATAATCCTCCAATATTCTGAATATTTTTTTTGTTAAACTGTTTGATTTATCTGTCATTTTGTTGGTATATATCATAAAATTAAGAATATTAATACAACTTTGTTAGAAATATGCATTTTCAATAATAAATTCATCTAAATGAAATAGGTTTTAATTTTATACAATCATTTTACACTGTTAAAATTATCTAGAATAATCTATAGGTTCATGATAATTGGTATTTCTTCAGTATATCTAAGTTTACAAATATGTGTCACATTCTTTTCTTTCAATAATTTATCTCTGTGGGAAACTTTCACAGCCTAGAATACAAATTAAGTAGACTCCCCAATATTTTGGCGATAGAGCTGAAGATCATGTTAACTGCGATGTTTGCTTTCAAACAAGTTATAGTAGCTATGAGCAAGCAGAGCTTGCATGGACAATATGTTTATTTGGATTTCATTTGCTTTGCTTTTTTTCCCAGACAATATTAGCCAGTGGTTTATTAGAATAAATGATATTCATGAGGATGTCTAAAATTGTATTTTCAAATACAAAATATTTTCTCCTACCATACATATTTTACATGAATCCTTGTTATTTTTCTCAAAGAATAGTCTAAACAACTTTTTAGTATTACCAAAAGGAATTTTTGATACTTTACACTCTAGAGAATAGAAAAGCATACAGAGTTACCAAAAAGAAGTCAACAATGTGTGCCATAACTTCATAATTAATTAAAAAAATAGCAAATGTGTGTATTATTTTATTTCATATATATTAACTCTAGTGTTTCAGGTTTTTTTTAATATGATAGAACTACATAGGTCCAAATTTCAGAAGTAACATTCAGTGTCTTTTTAAGTTTAGGGTCAAAGTTGTCACATATATTGCAAAGAACATTTTATGATGAGTCTCAAAACCTGAACCAAAACAGAGCTTTTCAAGTCTTCATAAACTTCATAAACTTTTCAAGTCTTCATTTCCTCTGGGAGATTATTAATTACTTCATAGTGCTCAAGATTAAGTAATTTATTTGTGATATTTATGGGGAAATCCACAATGATTATAATAGTTTTCTGTTAGTAAACACATGTTTAATTTAGTTTACATGCTTAAATTTAAATACTTCATATACTGTCATGTATAGGTTTGGAGCTACTCAGCAAACACATAAACTCTTCATAACTATAACTTTGTGTATGTGAAATATGCCATTTTAAATAGATTTATTGGCAGCAGTATTTAATAATTGAGCATGGAACTAAAGAGAAGTTGCTTCTCTCAATTTGTGATGATATACTTATAAAACTATCTTTTTCAGTGATTTCTTGACCTTGAAAATTATTCATATTATTTTATTCATAATTTATATATATATATATATTTAAATTTGTTCTTTATCTGTAAGAATAGTAGTTATCATGCTAAGCTTTCCATTTTTACCTCAAGTAGCAAAAACAAAGCAGAACAAGGTATCTCTTGAGTATTCATTAGTCATGGGCATAATTGTGACAATGAAGGCCATAACTAAACAGCCAATGTCCATTTCATAAGCAATATTTGTAAATTTTCATCTTTCCTAATGACAAATAATTAATAGAAAATGGGAAACTACTGGCATTTCTGTATTTTTCATGTATAATGAACCCTTGACGTAGTATCGCAGTAGTAAATTACTCAGGAAACCAAATTTTGAAATAATATATACTGCATCAAAATTATTTATTCAGTTACCACTGTAAGGCTCAAGCATGTGAGCTCTTCCTAAATACACTATTTGCCTGGTCACAGAGTGGAAGAGACTGAAAGGGCAATTTTGAGTGACATTTGTATCAACTTCGGAACTGTCAGCCTCTGTTCTGTCCTTGGGGCCTTGCACTTTTTGGCTTTCAGACATCTGTGCTGCCTTGAATTAGGAATGTTAAGAGTTCCAGTGGGTCTCTTGCTTTAATAAATGCTTTGAATACTCATCTTTTAGCATGCACAGGTAATAGCTCTTAGTGTTTAAAGCTAAGACATATGACATTTCACCCCCTCCGCATCCACTCCACATCCCTCTCCTCTTCATCAGGGCCGTCAGTCCCCCTGTGTACACACTCACACTCCATTTCCTCTGTGCTCATAAATCTCTCCTGTTCCAGTGCTGGAAATGCATTCCCTCCTCTATTTTTCCTGCATAATTAAGCCAAACAGCTACTTTTAGTTTCTGAAAGCCTTCCCCAAATTTTTTCCATAGTCATTGATGCTATCAGAAGGAAGTTCTAGGACTATCACAAAAACCCTTGCCTTCACACAGAGTAATAAACAGCTACCACATTAGGGGAAGTGCTTGGAATATTCACAGCTGCATAGTAAATATTTAGTAAAGTCCCTACCAGACAGTCCACATATTTAGGATTAATCAATGGCGACAAGATCTGGATTCTAATCCTCACTGCCCACTGATTATCTGTGGTACTCAGTGTATTGTGCACATGTAAGTTTCTATTCTTTATTTAGGATCTGTTACATCCCAGTCAGACTGAGGTCATATTACATAATTTTTAATGCTACCTGCTCAATGTGAGGGAGCTTTTTTAAATGTTTTATAGCCTGATAAAACTTTTTAAATAGGATCCCTTTGTGTTATGAGGCAGTGGTCCTCAAACATTTTAGTATACATCAAAATCACCTGGGAATACTTACTAAAACACAGATTTCTAGGAGAAACCACCAAAGTAACTGTGATAGTTCGCCTTCCCACAAGTTCCCACTTGGTACAGAGGGTGTTAACCCAGGGAACACGTGTTGAAAACTACTCCTCCATACCCAAATACAAGTGTGAAAGGGACACACAATACTTCTGTCTAAACCGCTCAAGTGAATGTCTCAAATTGAGCAATCTGGGAATAGTTTCCCCCTATAGTTTTCAAAATACTACAGCAAATTTCTCAAAGTTATGTATTGAATCATTCTTGAAATTACTTTACTTTCTATCAAGATTCTTTGAATTGATACAAATTGGAAGTAAGGGTCATTAATTATTATGTATCCTACAAAATACCAGATTGCCAATTCAAATTATCTCATAGATTTTCAACTAACTGTTCTTTTCTCTGAAACAAGTGAAAAGTGAGCTAGAAAATTTGGAGAGCATTTTTTCTAGTCAGTTCTTAGATTTTATTAAGTATAGCTAATGAATCAGGTAACAACCTCATAAATCTCTTCAAACTATAAACTCAAAATAGATGTCACTTTATACCATTTTATAAAGTGATTGATTTTGAGTGAATGTTCAGTAAAATTTTGTTTGCATTAATTAATTAATATGTTTCCATGTCACCTAATTATCTGATTTGAAAATTTTCTTCTTTCAAACATTTATCTATTAGTAAATATTTTATATTCTTAACTCATGAAGTAGTACCCAAGGTGAAACTAAATTTTTTTCTACCATACTGTGCAGGTAAAATGGATGCATATAAAATATGATTATATGCATCCTTTAATGGATGTATATAAAATATGATGTTTACAAAGGTAGCATAATATTCTAATTTTAGCATACAAAAAGGAATATACTGTCTCTTTTGTAGTGTTAGAAAAGTGATGTAACAAACATTATCTGACATTTATATGATATAATAGAAGTTTTAGTGACATTGCACCTATAAATTTTATGTATGAAATTACCCATTGGCTAATATGTGGAGATATAAAATCAAATTTATTCAAATATAGAACTATTTTAAATTACCAGCCATACTGAAGAGATCTCATGCATATCTTCACGTCACATGTGTTACACACTAATGGAACTCTAGAAAAATCTGGATTTTAAAATCATGATGTATATGGTTCGTTTAGAACAGTGTCACGTATAAATACATAGTACATAATAGGACCATGTTAATGATGTTTGTTTTCATTTATAAATGAGGTCCAAAAGAGTTTCTGGGAAGCCTAGGTGAAGTGATTATTTTATTAAAAAGCTATTGTTCTTTTCTGTGGGCAGCAGTTCTGATCAGAACCACACAATCATTTCAGTCCTCACCATTGTTCTAAGTGCTGTGCCTAAGCATAAGAGTATAAAGATGTTTGAAATTCAACCCCTGTTCTTTAGAGGTTTTAAAAATGAATGTTCTAAAGGGATATTTAAAATATTTCATGCAGGTTACATTAATTGTGTGCTTTCTGTGAATAGCTGAAGGCATGTATACTTTTCTCTTTTACAACAAAGCATTGTAATATGTCGTTGAATGTGACATTATATTGACAGCTAACCAAACACTGTAATGTTCAGATTAAATGTTAAGATCATGGATCGGTAGAATAATTTGATGGGAAATGACAGGCTGTATACCTGTGTTTTTCTAGACATTCGAAATCAGCTTTATCACAGCTCATCTTCTAATGATCATTGCAGGATGAAGTGGCACAGCCACTGAACCTATCCGCCAAACCCAAGACCTCTGATGGCAAATCACCCACATCACCCACCTCTCCTCATATGCCAGCTCTGAGAATAAACAGTGGGGCAGGCCCCCTCAAAGCCTCTGTCCCAGCAACGTTAGCTAGTCCTTCAACCAGAGTTAGCACAATAGGTAAGTTCTGTTTCTTTTGTTTTCTATGACTTTCTGGTTAAGGCAATTGAATGAAATCTCCTTTAATGGTATATAACATAAAACCTTATGTGTAGATTCAGCTCAGCAGCAGTGTTTTAATTTGACCAACGGTCTTGGTCCATTCTAAACATGCAAGTGAAATTGCTAAGTGAGATCTAGGTTATAATGTCCCCTAAAAATCCCATTGCATGAGTTAGGTTTATATATGTAACTACTTTTCTATAGGTTTATTTTTAAAAGGAAGCCTGATGACTAACCATAGAGCTGTGGTTCCAGAATGATAGTAGGTAACTTGCCTTTTGCATCACTGAAATTTATTTCCATTTTGGGCAATGTGTACAAAGTGTACCTAATGGTAAAATATATTTTGCCTGGATCAGCAAAACAAAGTCAAGTTACGAAGTTCATTTCATTTCTTTTTCTTTGAAAGTTTTTGATGCCTTCACTTCTCCATAACTATACTTTCAATAAATAAATACCAAGCAGTGTTTCTGTAACCTGACCAAAAGAATTCAATTTTTATTTTTAATAAACTAGAATGTAAATACTTAATTTGATAATTCAACACACAATTCCTGAAATGTTTATTCCTCAAATACAATTATAAGGATGCTAGCACACAGAATAGTCTTCAGGTAACTGATGTGGCTTATCTGAGGAACAGTTACCTATCCTGTAGTCTAAGTCAGATACAAGAAGGGCTGCTTTAGAGCACAGCTATAATTCTACAATCAAAGAGAGGACTGGATTGGATTCTCTTTGGGAAGCTGCAAAAAACACTAAGTTGGAGATAACACATTAAAACACAGTTTTGCAGAAAAGGTACATTCCTAGGCATTAATAGATTTTAAGAAAAAGAAAACCCCCGTAGGAGTGTGTATGTGTGTATATATATATATGTTAGGTAAATTATATCTAGTTATATATCTATGTAACTATTTTATATGTTATGTAAATTAGCATCTAGCCATATTAGTGCATTTCTAATATATATTATTATATTTAGTGTATGTATTATACACTATTTGCACTAATTTGGCTAGAGTATGGAATTAATGCATAGTAGAAAGTTATAAACACTAAAATTTAAAGATTTAGAAGAGATTAGATTGAATAATATTTTAATTTTGACGTTTTCTCCAATAAACTGTGTGATCAGAATTTTCGGAAGAATACTTGCAACAGAAATATATTAGGAGCAGGGCATGGTGGCACATACTTATAATCCCAGCACTTGGGGGCAGGAGGATTACCATGACTTAGAGGCTAGCCTGGGCTACATGGTGAGTGCAAGGCCAGCCTGAATTACAGAGAGCCCTTGTATCCAAAAAAAAAAAAAGATACTAGAATCAGGAAACTTTGTTTTAGAGTAAGACAGAGTAGAAATAATCACACCAAAACACAGAGGAGAGCAGATTGAGGAGATATTATTAAGAAAGAATTGACATGATTTTTCCACAAATATATCTGGTAAGGGTCAAATTGGAGACAGACATCTAGAATTTAGACTTTATGAACTAGTAAAGATTCTGTCTTTAACTCTGAAAGAGAAGACCAAGATGGAATGAAATTGAGAAATCTAAATATGAGTTGAGTATGTTTTGAATTTGAAACAGTTTTCAGAAGGCATCTGGGAGCCTTCTGATAATGTAAAGAGATGCTGAAGTTTTAGATGTGGAAATTCTGTTTTGACAAGCCTGGAAAGCCAGACAGCAAATAAATTCACCAGGAAATCTTGTGCCTTGTAAGAAGAAAAGTGGATAATGAATCATAGGAATACTTATGGTACTAGTTGTCTATTGGTATATAGACAACTTAGTCTCTTAAAATAGCCAACATGTATTATCTCATTTTCTAAGTGTCAGTGCAGCTGGTTAATTTTGGCCTAGAAAGTGTCATATAATTGTACCCAGTGCTGCAGTCATCTGTGGGCTTTGCTTGGAATGCGTAGTGATGACTATTCATGACGACCGCCTTACATGGCTGTTGGTTGGAGACCTCAGCAATTTGCTTCGTGGATCTGTCCCCAGGGATGCTCCTAGCATGACAGGAAATCTTTCCAAGTGAATGATCCAATGCCTTGTGTGACCCGATCTTCAGAGTCACTCATCTTTAGTTCTATTTCACTCTGCTCATTACAAGAGGATCACTAAGTCTACCCAGCTCAAGGGAAGGGGAGAATCAGTCTCTGACTTTTGAAGAAAATAGTTTCCAAGTACAATGCCAATGGATATATTTTTAAAACACCATACACATTTTAGATAGAACACTAATAAATAGTATCTTAAAATAAAAAAGAAGGTAGGTCAGTGTCACCTTGGCATAGGAAGATAAAAAAGTTTCCCCCAGAGTGTGGTTATTCTTAATAGTGGCACATTCTTCAGGCAAATTACAGACCGTTAAGAAAAAAAGCTTTAGATTTAGCTGGAGCCCATGGATGGATAAGATTCTGACACAGAAATTTCAGTAGAAGGCTTGAATAGACTTCTAGGTACAAAGATTTGAAGAACATGAGAAAAGACAGCACAGTTGATGTTGAATATCTTTTTGTAAAGTTAGTGTTGAAAAGTGATTGTAGTATGCGAAGGCTGAACAGGCACAGATTTAAGAATAGGAATACATTCCTCTGAGTGGAAGAGAGGGAGAAGCTGGGGAGACATGTAGATATGCAAGAGTGATGGTTTAACCAGAAGAGCTGACAAGAAAGAACAGATTTGCAACAAGAGCTCCATCCTTTGTCTGAGACTGAAGAAAATGAAGAAAGCATCGCCAAACTTCAGAGAAACTGTGGGCCAGCCAGGCCGATAACTGGAGGGTTATCCATAATGCTTTAATCCTACAAACTAGAATTCCAGCTTATTGGGTGAGGCAAATTCAACCTGGTGCAGCAGGACAGCGATCAGAACAGAAACAGTGAGAACTGAAGTTTTGAGAAGTTTGAAATGAGTGTGGAATACACATGTGGTTCTTCACCATTATTGTCTAACGCTCAAGTACTTTGCTCAGCATCCTAAATGTTGGTCAGATTAGATTTACATTTATGTACTAACTGTGTAAGAGAAAAATATTTTATTTGGCAAGACCAATTCACTTCCATAATATACATGAAGGCTCATAAATATCACAGTGTTGACATGTGAGCTACTTTTGTAATGTTATTAGAGCTAAAATATTTAGCTAATAGAATAACTAAAATATATGCATTTTATCATACTTTGTACTTCAGCATTCTCAAGGATTAAGTTTGACAAAGTATTTTATAAAGGCAAGACTATATTTAACATTTATCATACAACTTTCTCCATTACTAAAACATCTCTTTATTTTTTCTTCCTGAAAAGTCCCTTCACCACATACACATCCCTCATATTTTCCAAGAGTTTGAGGCTGCTACAATTTACTTTTCTCTTTTCAACAAATGCAGATGTTGAAAGCTGAAAATGTAATGAGTAATAATGTAGTTGGATAAAAGCTGTGAGGATTAATGGTGTTGTAAAGGTCACTGTGAAAGAAGAATTAATGTGTTATGCCATTAATAAACTATGGAAAACTGTGGACCAGAAGATAACTTAAGCTATCATTAATGGCATGGGGCTCTTTGCTATACATCTGTTAACTACAAGTACAGAAAATGACTTTTTGAGATTGGTGAGCGGTATTACAGTGTGTTCTGTAAGAATGGTTTTGATTGCTACATGGGTGAGAGGCAGTGGCAAAGAAAAGGGATCCTGAAAGACATAAATAGTGCAGAAGAATGATGGATGCTGTTAGGATCTTTCACCCAGATGTTACCGTTCCTTCCTAGACCCTTTTCACCAGTGTTGTACATATGTATAGCACTCTTCACTTTTTTCAAAGCATTTTTAATATGTTTTCTCACAGCAGTTATTTTAGACCCTTAACTAGGTAGAGCAGAAATCTGTGTCACTAATCCAAAGTTGTTATTTTACAAATAAGGAATAGAGAGCTCATGAGGCTAAGTGCACACTCAGGCATTAAAAGTAAGTCCCTATCAGATGTCCTAGATGTATAACGAAGTTTTTGTCTTGTTTTGTTTTTTTTTAGCACTGGTGACCAAACTTAGGGCTTATACATGCTAATCATGTCCTATACCAAGGAGCTGAACTCCTACCCTGTGTTAATAACAAATACACATGTGTCCTAGTAAATGGTCTACAGACACAGCCAGTGGAGGTTGAGGTTTCTTTCTAGTTGTTGTGTCTCAGTGGACTTCCTGCATTGGATGGGGCCCTTTCACCAACCCATTCAAGTGAGAACTGAGTATCTTCTGTAGGCCATACGTTTTGCAGTCAGGAGACAAGCCAATATGGGCTGAGGCTCGAGGTACTCATTATCACTGCCCGTCTTACCATTCACACTCCAGAGGGACATGAAACATAAGACTGTAGCTGAGCAAATATAGTGGAAACATTCTGACCAAATAAAATGGAGGGAAATATGTCCAAGTTTAGTAAATACATTATTTCTATCACCTCCTGATTTAAAATATAATGAAATAAAGGAGAATGTTAGCCATGAAGTTTACATTAGTTTACATTTTTAATCAGAGTAATTTATAGGAGGGTTTTAAGAGAAAACTTTTCATCAGAGTTGGTGATTAAGTAAGAATACTCTAATTAAAGGAAAGCCATCGAATTACGAGGACATGAAGGGTCTCACTGAATCACATGTGGCAATTCCACAGCGCTTTACAGTTTATAAATTGCTTTCACTTTTGTTATCGAATTCTGGTGAGCTTTCAGAGATTACAAAAAAAGATTACATATCAGGGTATCATAATTTTGGTTACAAGTGACCTCAGAAATAGAAAGAAAATAGTACTTGTTGGAATCACTTGAAACAAAACCTCTGTTACCTTTACTTGTAGCTAAAATGTTTTAAGTAACATATCTAACGTATGTAAAAAATCTCCATTGCCTTCATATTGTTGGTTAAATCCATGAACTATATAATAAATC